CCCCGACTTTGTGGCCAGGTGGAAATTCACTTTTTAAGAAAGCTGGACACTTGTCCAGGGTCAGGGTTTTCTCCCTGTGACCGGGTAAGGGGAGCTGCACTCAGGGGGTTCTGGCCTCTGAATAGTGAGGGTTCTCCTTGGAAGGGCCTCCATGTAGGTCCCGCTGGCCCTGGTCGAATCCTGTTATAATAACCCGATCATCTTCAGGATGGAGCAGAAAAAATCAGACATCTGCCGAGGAAAGCTTCCAAGTACCTTTTCTGCTACGTGTGAAGAAACCCTTACCCAGCACAATACACACACAGCACTAAAACAACAGAGCGACAGCCTTGTCCTGTTGTCTTGGGAAAGTGACGTTCCCAATGGGAGAGAAAACAGGTGTTTTGTGTTTGAACTCGGAGGTGAAGCCGATGTTTTGGGGACTGTGACACGGGGCTTCAGAGTGGGTGTAGCAGCGCTTGTCCCTGGGCTGTGGGTGGAGTGTGGGCGGACACGCTGATGGGGAACCTGGTCTGGGCAAGTTCTCAGGCAGCTGTGGAGACGCCCAAGGCTCCCCGGTCGGAGTTGTGAAGCTGGGATCACCCTCCTTCTGTGGGTATGCTGACTGTTACATGAGAAGGCACTGCGGGGACGGGCCCAGCCACTGGAACATAGCTCGCCACCTCCTGTCCCCTTCCCAACCCTCAGGCCTTCAGCCCCTGGGAAGGGCGGAGAGAAGGGGACAGAGAAGGACGCGTAGCCAGGCAGGAGGTGCATTCGACTCTGCACCACAGAAATGGTGCTGGCATGTCGTTGACGGTTTCATGTTCATCAAGGAAGAAACCGCGCATCTCGGCCAATCAGCAGCGGCAGGCAGGGAAAGCACTTCCTACTGAGGGTGATGAAGTCATCTCAGGTCAGCCACCAGACCCAGAGGAGGCGAGAACTGGGCGAGTGGGAAGGTGCCGTCTGCTGTCCACTGTCTTCAATCAGGGCCTCCCTGCCTGTCCAGGGCACCCACAGGCAGGCCAGGGGAGCAAAGCGGGAGGAGAGCGAGCAGCGAGGACACGGGGGCCACGCCCCAGCTGGCAATGGTGGGGTCGGGAGGGCAGGAGGTGAGCTGAGGGCTGGCCTGTCGGTGGGTCAACACGTCCATAAACCCTGGAAGGTCTGTGTTCTGCCCTCAGACCCAGGGCTGGTTGACTAGCTTGCACCCCCTCTTTTCCTGGCACAATACAGCTTGCCCTGGAGGAGGGGGAGTCTGCTGAGCCTGAGCAGGAGGATCTCCAAGATGGGCATCCCCGGAGGTGGGCGCCAGAACCAGGTGACAGGAAGACGGGCTGGCACCCCTCTAGCCGCTCCCGTTCCGGGGCATCGCCAGCTCCCTGCAGGCTCACCGTGCTCACCGTCGGACCCCGCGCCTTCCTTCTGGGTGGACCCAGCTGCCACTCGGCTTATTTAGGATGTCTGATCGGCTTCACGCCGGAAGATTCCAGACACACTCCAGGCGCAGAACTGCCCGCGCAGATCTGAGAGGTACTGAGGCTGTTGCCCATCGTGGTGTTTGTCGCATTTTGTTTCCCACCCGAAGGTCTAAGTGCCTCCCCGTTTGGGTGAATAAACCGGATTTTGGCTCTGATGCTGTACGAAGGGCGTGTCTCTGTCTCCTTGTTGTCTGCAAACTTGGGGTTCGCTGAGTTAAGGAAAGTCTGTGCCGGGCACGTAACCCAAGAGCAGCCACAGAGCCTGGGCAGCACTGGACTTCTGGGACCCGGCTGCCGGCGTCTGGTCTGTAGGATTAATTCTTTAGAGGCTGAACAAGGTGTTTAAAAAATTCTCTTTGTGATTCAGTTCCTGGCTTCAAATAAAGGGGCTTCTTCAGGCAGCTTTTCCATTCACTTCTAGTGCCAGCCAGCGCCCCAGAACCCAACAAGCCAGCAAGAAGGTTTACTGCAGGAAGAGGGAGGTGGAGGAGAGCAGGGGTCACCGCCACCCCCACAGGGAGAGGTCCAGGAGTCAGTGTGTAATTATCTGGCTGCCCGCGTCCAAAAGCTTTTATTTGATAATGCAAGTACCAGACACACCGTAATGTGGATTATTTCAGAGAATAAAAGGCGGATTGTCTCTATGACCGCCGTAGCTTTTAGTGAGGTTTAAGACAAAATTACATCCCGTACAGCCCGTCAGTGGTCCCCGCTCCCCACCTCCCTGCTTCTCCCAGGAAGGCAGGGTTGCCGTGCCATCTGGGAGGCTCCCAGGTTTCTCTAGGTCTCAATTTCCTCCTCTGTTGATATGTCCGATTCTCCGTCGTGTCTGAAATGAGGTCTCTGTGAAACAAAGACGCCCCTGCCCCAAGACGCCCGAAGCAGACGCCCACCCACCTCCCCACGAGGCCGTTCCATTGACGCTAGGAGCACCCCCCATCTAGCTGTCAGCTGCGTTCTGACAGGGATGAAGCCTCCTGACCTCATCCTTCACAACTGAAATCCAAATCTGTCGTTTGCCCCAGGAGGAAAAAAATGCAAGCTTTTAAAGCAGACCAGGCAGGAAACCCAGTTTTAATCGTAAGGGCAGGATGTAGCTTACGAGTATTTCTGGAACCTGCAAAGGTATCTGGGCATGTTCTGAGGGACGAAGTGATCCTCAAACACATAAATAAGGCAGACGTGGGCTTGTCCCCACAGAGCGGGACTGCGTGGGGAGCCCCGGTTTGCATTGCTCGTTCCCCAATTGACGTCGTTCCTGCACACAAGAGGCTGGCTCTGGTGTCGGCTGACTGCATCCAGCTTGGGAGACAGTCTGTTTCCTGCCCTGCTGGGCTTTGAGAGCAAGTCAGGCACTGCCAGCCACTTGCTCCTGAAAGACCCGATGCCACACCAGAAGTGTGTCCACGGAGCCTCTGCCATTCGGATGAACCCCAGGAGGCGCGAGACAAGACAGGACCATGGAGGCGGCAGAGCCAGCAGATGGGAACCCGGGAAGAAGGGCTGGCCGAGGACATCCAGGGAGGGGACCGAGCAGGGAAAGCTGGAGGGACCCCGCGTGGCTACTTCCACGCCCACCCATGCGGCCTGCTCAGCTGCCGGGGACGCAGGATGAGTGGATCTCCTAGAACCTGCCTCGTCAGCGTGCTCACTTCACGATGACCCGTTTGTCCAGGCTTTCACTCCTCACGTGGGCAACATTCTTCGCCACGTTGTCAGACGCCGTGTTTGAGGCCGTGAGACAGTTAGGTGACCAGGAAGGTACATTTCTGTTACTGAGCCAGCCCTCTGGCCATCCTCGTAGGGCACTGTCTTTGGGAGGCTGCAGACACAGCGAAGGGTGTGTTGTGGGCACCAGGGCCCGGCCCCGTAGGGCTCCCTGTGGGAACCTCGGCGCCAGCATGGGGGCCAGCGCTCCAGAAGTCCTTGACATCTCAGAAAACATGAGACCTTTACATCCACAGACATCACTCTTCCTCCTTAAGAGATAGCGTGAGACCTCACTGGACAAGGTGAGACTGGTTTTCTCAGGGCGCTTGGCCCTGGGCCACCCAATCACCACATGGCTCCACCTCGCTGTTGGGAAGGAGGCGCTGCAGGGCCCCAGACATCCTGCAGCCGATACATGTCTCCTCTGCCCACTTGCTCTGATCCCTGCACCTGCCAGTAGCCAGCCCTCCGCCCAGGGCTGCCCTCAGCTGCTCCAGCTCCCCGGGGGGGCCAGCTTCTGCCCCAGGAACAGGCACGAGTCCCCACCCCCTGGTCCTTGACGCCCCACCTCACTCCATCCTGCCTCCCCCACTGCCTGCCCTGCAGACCTCAGGCCCCAGGCGCACAGACCGCAGCCTGGTGGTGACGCTCAGCCGGCTCCCACGCCTGCGGACGGCCAAACCCCACTACAGCTCATGGACATGGTCCTCTAGTGGGTTCGCTTCTGCTGCCCGGCCGCTCAGCACTCCCGGGGCCTCGACAGCCAGCACACACTTGACACCAGAGGCAGGAGCAGAGCCCATTGTTTCCCGCTCACTGGACCACAGATGTTCTCTTCATAGCAGCTCACAGCCCTGTGGGGCCTGTGACCCAGAGAGAACCTGGGGTCCTGGCTGTGCGGTCTCTCACCTCCAGGCCTGGCCCCCGGGCAGGTCCTTCTATGTCCTGACCACGACACGAGGTTCCACCCACGCCGTGTTTGCAGCACGCCTGTCGCCAGGCTCTGAGGGCACAAGGCAAGGGGACTTTATCTCCATAACAGGAGAGGCCACACCCACACTCCCATGAAAAAGTATGCACGTAGGTAAATTATACAGAGTAGTTATGCCCTGGCTGGTTCGGCACAGTGGTTAGAGTGTCAGCCCGTAGACCGAAGGGTCGCAGGTTTGATTCTTGGTCCAGGGCACACACCTGGGTTGCAGGTTTGATCCCAGGCCCTGGTTGGGGCCATGCGGGAGGCGACCAATCGATGTGTCTCTCTCACATCGATGTTTCTCTCTCTCTCTTTCCCCCTCCCTTCCTTCCACTCTCTCTGAAAATTAATGGAAAGATATCCTCAGGTGAAGATTAGGAGAAAAAAATAGTTATAGGTAATAATTTTTGAGCACCCCATGAAGCAAACTGTTGCCAGGACTTTCCTGTGAAAACCTATACAACCGTTTGCATAGCAGAGGTAGGGAGGGGGGACTGATATTCTGGAGATGGATGGGCAGTGGGCCAGATGTGGGTGGCCCGGGGAACACCGCCTGCCTGCCAGAGCGAGCTCTGGGCGCCCGCACACCCTCATAGGCGCTGACGGATGCTTGTGGTTCTGGTGCACACAGCACCCCCTGACCACCTCGCACCCCCAGGGAGGTCCTGCCTGGGGCCTGCGTGGCCAGAGCCGCCCGCTCCCAGACCGCTGCTCTCCACCGCCCAGAGCTGGTTGAGTCCGAGCCTACTTCCCGCTCCCTAGGAGCTTTGGGGTTTGTCAGAAGCAGAGCACTGGCTGAGCACTTGCAGAACAGCGGCCACCAGAACGCCCCCTGGGCACCGGCCGCCACCTACCTCTGTGGGACAGCTCCTGCAAGGTGGCCCTCAGGCGCTGCTGGGCCCCCGGCAGCCCTTCATGGCGGTAGATGTCTGCTATGGGGACCTTCTGGCACCTCCCGAACACTCCGTCTGTGAGAGAAGGGAGGCAGAGAAGGAAAAGGGGTCATTTTCAGAGAGGAGGAAGGTGTCACGCCCACCCTTGCTCTGTGCCTAACCGTGCACCGTGGCGAGGCTTTGGAAACGGCCTCGGAGAGCCTCAGGGAGCCTCAGGGAGCTGTCAGAATCCTGGGGCGCGGGGACTGCCGCGGCCCACTTCAATAAGGGCAGAGTGCCGTGAACACAAAGGCCACGCTGGAGAGGAGAGACTCGGGAACCCAGTGCCATTTGGATGCTTTATTCTGCATTCCCATCCCTTCCTCCTCGGGCCCTCCCCACCCCTCACTTTGTAATTTCCAGGCCGTGACTTTCACATTTTTGACAAAAAGTTAGTAACATCCAGGGCCGGTTTTCCAGACGAGAAGCAGAACACCCAGGAAGATGATGATAACTCGCAGAAGCCTCGAGGACCGTGGAACGTCTCCCACATGGTGGCACGTGGGAGGCGCTGGCATGAGGTGGCTGCGCCCGCCGGCCAGGCGGGTCCGAGGGGCTTCTGAGAGCGCAGCACAGGGGAGGTGCTGGCGGAACAGGGCGCACAAACCGGACAATTCATGCAGCTCCCTCATCTGTCTGAAATGACAGACCCTGCTCATCAGCGTCTTTCCAAACCACACCTTCCAATTAATTTAGGCTGCAGTGAGTCTTTCTTTGTGAATTGCTCACTTTGAGACAAGCTTCCTGTGGGGCTTCACGCATTCAAATGACCGCCTTTCCTGCACACAAAGGCCTAATTCAGGGACCCAGGCTTCACACACAGGCGGCCATCTGCAGCGTCAGGCCTGGGTGGAGGGAGCCGGCTTCCATTGTTCACAACAGTTTCATGGCCCAATGTAGCTGAAGGAAGCCATTCAAATGCAACATGTTTAATTAGCAGATGCGCCTTGGCCCAGTGCAGGCTGGTGTGGTAATTGCCGGTCTGATATGACGCATGTGCTTGGACGGGTGGTGCCGTGATTAGCAGAAAATCATCTGAAGTGTCCCAAGCATCTCGCGAATTTCTATGGGACTTTGTAAGCCCCCGACTCTGGGAGGGCAAGCTGCCAGCTGCTGGGTGCAGGCCACAGAGGCCACCGAGGAGGCCACCAAGGAGGCCACGTGGGCTGTCAGCACTGCCCCGCCCAAGCGGCCTCACCAAAATCCATGCAGCGACCACCTACACCCAGAGGGATTCGGTGACAGTTTTCTGACAGGGAGGGCGTGTCCCCACCCCACCACCCAGCACCACGAGCTGTCTGTGGGGAGTCCCTAGACAATAAGTGTCCCTGTTCTTTGATTTGGTTTTGTGCCAAGAACTCCCTGCCAGCGGGTGGTGTGTTCGTGTGCGGCACGGAACAGGGAGGGAGAAAGGGGGCCAAGGGAGAGAATGAAGAACTCTTTAGAATGTGCCTGAAACTCCTATTACTTTTCAAATGGAAATATCTCGAAAGTAGAATCGTAGTGCGGGGACTAGAAGGAGCCTTAAGAGAGTCCTACCCACATGTCACAGAGGAGGAAACAGAGGCCGGAGCAGGGGGACCGAGGCCACAGAGGGTCAGCAGCCGAATGGGCGGAAGGAAGAGAAGTCAGGTTCCTGGACTCCCCTCACCTCCGTGGTAACCAGGCTGCCAGAGACGGACCCAAGATCCACCCCCTTCAGCCAACGCCCCGGATCACTCAGGTTCTTGGAGAGAAAGATGGCCAGAGACATTTCCTATCTACTTTGGAAGGTTTCCACTAAATTATTTCGCTTCTGAAGTATAATGGCATCATTCCCTACATTTGGTTTGTGGTGCACCATGTGAGAAAGATGTCCTCAGAAAACGTCAGCGCGACGGGGCAGTGGGCGCCTGCCCCTCCAGCCCGGCGAGACGCTGTCACCGTGGAGGAAGCGCCTGTGCACCAGCTGCACCCAGGGGCCTGGCAGCCCCGAGTCCGAGACCGTCAGGTCCTCAGGTGCGCCTGCGCCTGGGCTGTCAAGAAGCCAGGGGTCTGCAACCATGTCTGCAGGGTCCCCAACAGGCCAACGGACCTCCCCGCCCCGCCACCTGCTGGGGCAAGCTCAGGCGCTGGCCAGCCTGTGCTGCGCGGGCCGAGAGTGGGACGGAGGCTCCTCACTGCCCGGCTGCCTGGTGTCTCCCAGTGAGATCAGCCCAGAGGCCAAGCCCATGAACAGTCAGAGAGTGTGACCGATGGTGCCGAGTGTCTGGAGAGAGACCTGTGAGGAACCCTGGATCGTGAGAAACTGACAATCGAGGCAAAGTATCAAGGCAAACATGATTTTTCTCGAAAAGCAAACCATTTAAAAGCAAGTCCCCTGTGCGCGGTTGTGGGGGGATGTAGAATGGTGCAGCCGCCGTGGAGAACAGTCTGGCGGTTCTTCCAAAAACAACACCGAGTTCCCACCTGATCCAGCGATTCCACTTCTGCACTTTCTCCCGACGGAATCGAGAGCAGGGTCTTGAACAGATACTGCATACCCGTGTTCACACAGCATCACCACTCACGACGGACGAGAGGAAGGAGCAACCTACGTGTCCCCCAACAGGCGAGGGGATGAGAAACGGGAGAATATCATGCAGCCTCAGAAAGGAGGGAATGCTGACGCCGGCCGCAATGGGATGCCCCTGGAGGACATGACGCCAAATAAAATAATAGTGCACGACCCCACACTGGATGTGTTCCCTGGGGTCGGCAGACGACAGAGTAGGCGGTGGGGCCAGGGGCTGGGGGAGGGGAGTTGGTGTTTTAACAGGCCTAGAGTTTTGGTTTTGGAAGACGAGAAAGTCCAGAGGGGATGGCCACACAACAGGATAAATGCACGAATGCCACTGAAACCCACCTTTAAAAAGGGTTAACCTGGTACATTTTAAATTATACATGTTTTACCATACTTTAAAAACTGGAAAATACGCAACTCAAAGAAAATGAAAGAATGTGACAAAGCAGGACACTGCTGGAGAGAGAGCAAGGAGGCGTGTGGACAAGAGATGTTCAAGTTTCCGGGGCCGGCTGGGACCGCGAGGCGGGGCCGGGTGTCGCTGCCGCAGCCACTACCACAGCGAGTGGGCGACAGGCTCTCACCGAGGCGTCTGTGTATCTGCAGTAGTGAGGAGTTCAGATCCAGTTCCGTCCGAAGCGGTGAGCACACATGTGGTGCCTGCTTTGTCCACAAGCTACAGCCCAGTAGTCCATGCCTGGGGACACACCACCCCTCACACCTGCACTGGACCCCCGTGGGCATCACGACGTCACCAGGAACAGTGCCTCGGCCGAGGCGGGGGCAGGCCTGGCTCGCTGGAGAGAGGCTGGGCTGATCGAGGAAGGCCTTCTGGAGGAGGTGGGCCCCGTGTGGACCTTGGCCGAGCAGCCGTGGATGGCGAAGCGGCCCCTGCCCCCAGGGTGGAGAGTGACCCGTGCACCGGGGGGCCCGGCTGTCCTTGCACACCATCCTGAGGGCACGCGCAGACCGACTCAGCGACTGGACGTGCAGCTGCCGCACTTACACAGGTGCATTCGCACAAGGACTCCCGGGCCAGGGGCGTCGCTCCCACTGCAGCAGAAGCAGGACTTTCCCATTTGCCCCAACAAGAGGCGTCTCCTCCATCGACGCGGCTGCACGTGCGTTGTCATATGAATCTTGCAACACTTTGCATCTGGGTTTTTTATTAATTTGAGAGAGAGAGAGGTCGATTTGTTCCACCTACTGATGCCTTCATTGGTTGATTCCTGCATGTGCCCTGACCGGGGATCAAACCCCAAACCCTGGTGCAGTGGGACGACGCTCTGACCAGCTGAGCTCGCAGCCAGGACCTGCATCTGGGCTGTAGTGCTGACCACACTCCCTGGAATTTAATTCAAGAGAAGCGCTGCAGCTTGGCTGAAAAGCCAGGTGGGAATGCAGAGCTGCATACTAACGAGGGGAAGCAGGTTCTGCAGCTCTGAGGACTGAAAGTGAGAATCAAAGAGGCCCTGGAAGGAGAATAGGGGGGTTGCACTGCCAGAGGTGATGCTTCCCTGTTAGTTCAACCTGAACCCCCACGGCAAGCTGAGGGCACAGGATTGGGAAGGCGGGAAAAGAGGTGAGCAGCATTCGTGCATGTTTGAGAGACGGAGCCCCGAGGGATCAGAGAACCGCCACGCCCACTTCACGCACCACTGTCACTGGAAATCGTCCTCCCTGGAACCCCCTCTAGTGCACACGTGTCTTTCACGGGATCACGCAGAGTGAGGTGGGAGCCCCCGGCGGAAAGAAGTCCCCACCCCGGTTGGTTCATGCAGCAGGGAGCTCAGGGCTCAGGCCGGCTCTGCGGCCCCCACTCTCGTCCATTTCTCACAGGTCAGAGGGTCAAGGGCATTTGGTGAAGTGCACTGACCTCCCACACCTCCTCGAACGCCTTCCCACTGAGGGCTCCAGCAGTGCATGGTCTGCAGGACGGCAGGAGGTGTGGACAGAGGATGACTGGGCTGCTGACCTCGTGCTGCTCGAGCCAGCCAGACAGAGGCAGTGTTTCCAAAAACGTCTGCGTGGCCATTAGAGCAGCTCCTTCCCCTTCTCATAACAGCCGAAACCCGAAGCCGGATTAGGTCCGTGCAACACGGCCACTCATCCCTGCTGCATCTGGACGTCCACAGGCTCCGGACCCCTGGAGACGGGTCTGGCAGCTCCAGTGTTGGGAGCGCCCAGAGCTTCCCGGGCGGCCACGGTGGGGGGGCTGGCGCTGGCAGTCCTGAGCTCGACATTGATTGGCAAAAACGAATCACACCTGAGCCTCAAAGCACTTAGCCCTTCCTGCAAGAAAACGAGCCTCTCGATATTATCAACCGGGGCTCTCAATCCCTTGAATCTAAATGTTTTAGGTGAGAGCAGTAATAGATTTTCAAATGGAGACGTTAACCTCTCTGAACTGCTTTTCTCCGACTCAGGCAGGGGGGTTCTGACTGTCCCTCTCTATTCCTGAAACGGGCGCATCCTGGCGCGACCACCAGCCGGA